GGATGCCGTGAAGGGACGATTTATACTTATGTTGTAGTTTACGACCCACCCCTACAACTCGGTCGGCAGCTTTACAAAGAGATATTTCATTTTTGTGCTTTTTCTCATTGTCTTCGATTGTATCTTGTCCCGTGGTTTCCTTCTTTTTGTACTTTCCGAGGTCTTCACACCAAACGTGGACCACTTGAATCCATTTCGTACTCTTACAGGTGCTGTTTTTCGTTATGAAGAAGGCCGGGAGACCGAATTTTCTCCCGTGTCCTACAACAACATCGACACGAATTCCTGGAGGCGGTAGTTTCAAGCAGTCAATTGGGTTCTCAGATCCAGGGGCTTCTTCAGCATTAATCAAATAAACACCATGACGTCTAGCATCTTCTCTTTCCTCCTCATTACTTTGAGGTACGTAGCAGTAAACCTTGACAATGTCATTAAATTTGGCCAAATTCACCACGAGTTCACGGTTGAAAGTGGATAAGCCACCTTTAGCGGACAGCCACTCATCTATAGGAAACACCACATTGATACAATCCGTATCTGACCGTTGCTGTAGCTCATCGTGAATGCGTGATGTTGTTGTAAAGCTCATCGCAAACAATCGAATTGTATTTCCTTTAACCGATAATGTTCTTTTGTGGGGAATCAAACCTTACGATACTGTTAAGAGTGACTGAATATATTCTCATAGAAGTCTGCGTAAATGTAAAATGTAAAAATCAAATTTCCCTCCGATCCTTTGTTCTGACACGGTAGGGACGTAAAGCGCATGTACAAGTACCCATATTTGGAAGCTTGAACAACTTTCTTATCCATATTTGGAAAACCGTTTCCAGGCCTTTACTACTTCGAATCTCTGTCTCGTGTAGTCTCCTCTTGCAGCCGTTCTTTCTTTTGGGATCCCTGTGTCTCCCTCCCCATGGGGAGGGAGACACAGAGATCCCGAGAAAAAGAACAGCTGCGAGAGGAGACTATGTCTCGTGAAGCTTCTTTTCATTTTCGTCAGATGCCGTTTGTTAGTGTGACAGATAGAACAAGGAGGATGGGCAAAAAAAATATGAACGTTGAGAACTTGGAGCTTCATAAACTGCAAAAAGATGGAGAGAGAATTACAGGTTCAATATGATTTTATTGATGTGTTATTATACTTCAAATAATTTATGAACTTAAAGAATCAATACATTTTCTATAATCTCTCTTACAGTTATTATGAAGAAAAAAAGAACAAAAACAAGAGATTGTTCTCGTGTCCATGACAGTTTTTCTGCTTTCCCTATTACTTCATTATTTTTCTCTTTTTTCAACATTGTCGTGAAATATTTCAAATTATTTCTAAAAATACTTCTAAATATTTCAAATTTTTCCCTTATGTCCTCTTTACAGGAACAGCTGCCTGTCAAACACTTTGAAGCTGCCTTAGTTTGGAAAAAGCAATTCAAACCCCTGAGCTTTACCATTCTTTTATTTAAATCTGACTAGCGTATTATTACAAACAAATCTCAATGCATGACCATAGTAACACCAATACTGCAACCAAATTAGCAAGCTCTGGTTGACAACTGTACTATTTGAGCAGAACTAGCCATTTCATCCACATTGCTAAGAAAACTTCGGCAAGGAAAGCAATTTTCAAGCAGGAAAGTGACAAAATGGAATAAATGCATCAATTAGGAGATATTATTTCATTTAACACCAAATTCTCAGAGCTAGATTTGTAAGAAATATATCACAGACAGTGCAAATGATTCATGTTTTGATGTTACAATTCAAGTGAATGGTTTTAAGTTAAGAGTTTCTGTAGTACAT